TATCTATCTATCTATCTATCTATCTATCTATCTATCTATCTATCTATCTATCGTGGGATTCAAATAATTTAACAACCAGTTCTCTGCCCTGATGACCAGCTGGGTAGGAGTGGCTCAGTGGTCATGTGACTGGGTGGGCATGGCCAACTCAATATCACTCACATCGACGGGCGCATCACCTTAGCTGTTACAATGTAATAAGGGTTAACTGGAGAGGCACTTTCTGTAAGCAGGGCAATGTGTGTGTGTGTGTGTGTGTATGTTTCACAAATGGGAAGTTTTGACATTGCTATGTTTCCAATATTCATATTGTAATCATTAATTTTCATGATGTATTAGCTAACTGTTATCACAGTTTATCTAAGGGACCTTGTTGGAATTAATATTCTACAGTTTTTTCTGAAAGGAGGAGCTTATTACCATATATTGATCAATATTTATTTCAACTACAATTGTAAGAAATGCCTATTTTGGGAGTGACCTTTGAACTGTATAATTAATAAACATTTGTTAATTCATTTTTTCAATAAATGTTGCATCTATTTTCAATATTTTTATACCAAATATTTTATCTAGATGCTCCTTGTGATCAGTTGTGTCAGAAACAGATATTTAAAACTACCTTTATTAAAAAAGATAACATTATAGCAAAAAAAAATGTCTGAACAAGCTGTAAAATTGAGAATTGCGTGTGTTTACCACCTTGAGTTATTTATAAAAATAATAAAGGTGGCGCATAAATAAAATTAAGAATTGCACTGATGAAGAACTTTGAAATCCATTATACTCTTTTTTTCCTCAAAATAAATTATCTTTTTTGTATTCCATAAAATTTGTCCTTTCATTATGATATTTCATCCATCCCTTTTTGATATCTTTGGTCTGGTCTATAATTTTTTACTTGATTATTATCTCATCTTTAACAGACAACCAAATAAAAATTAACTGTACTGGAGTTTATGACTAGTAAGAGTAATCATTTACTCCCTGTTGCCACTAGAAAGACTTTTCTCTTAACAAAGGATATCAAAACAATCAAAAGTATGAAGTGGAAAACTCTTAACATATATTGGTAGTAACAGGAATGTAGATTAACATATCTGTAATACAACATGTTTACAGTGCTTTCACAACTCATGGAGCTCTTTGGATTGATTGTAGCTTTTCCTTACCTGTACGGCACTGTTAAGAAAGCAGCTGTTTTGTCCTGGTTCATTTAACAAGCCTTTGGTGGGAGCCAGGGACATCACACTTCCAGGCTGATACACTTTTCCAAGATTTCCTCCAGGTTTTCTCAAGAATTTTGCCCATGCCATTATTTAGGAAACAAATATAGATTTATATAAAGGAAGATATAAGTAATCTGAGCTAAACAAGGCAATTCAGACAACAGCCTTTAAAAAATTATGGCACTGTGATCATGCTTCCAACTCTTCAGCCTGCACTTAAATAATGTGGTTACGCTCTGTTTGGTTTATGAAAATAGTTTTTAAAAGCTGATCAAAATAGAGCATAAGAATATCAGAAACTCCAGTGAATAAAGTTGATGTAATCTGAAAAACTGTAAAAATAATTATTGATAATGCTCATCTTCCTTTTAAATTCTACTGTAGTATCATTTTGTCAAAAGTTTTAAAAATAAAATAGCAACTATCAAAAATCAGGAGTTCTTAGCTCGTATTGTATGCAGGGATTTTATGTTGATTCTTCTTTCTCAATATTGGCAATATATCACATTTCTTCTTTTGTGTCGCCGAAATAATTCTATGCATAGTTCATATCATCTTTCAAAATCTGAAAGAAAGGGGAGGGGTAATTATAATTATACACTTTCTTCGCCAGTCTCTGCCTCTGCCCAAAGAAGAAAAATATCCAAGACGCAAACAGCATCAGGAGGCCTGCACCAAAGTAACAAAGCACATAAGCAACGCTTCTAGTTACAGCCCCTGGAATAGAATCTTTGCTGGATACCTCCTACTTAGTAAGCAAAAGAAGAATGGGAGTGGCCAGTAAGCATATAAATAAAAGTGCTGCCAGCAACAAGATGTCAAAAACATGTTTCAGGTTATGTGTTACTGTTTGTTTCAGAGGACAGGATATTACCTAAACACAAGTAGTAGTTTTTCCCCCCAATACTAATTTACTTCTTATATTTTCCTATCACAAACTGTGGCTTAGGTATAAAAAACCTACAAACACACACACAAGCACACACACACTTTTACCTTAGGAGTCTTGATTTCAGACCTTGTTTACTATGAAACTTGTGGTTTTCTAGGAATGCTGCTTTATTGGGACAGATACTTATAATTTATTATCACATTAATTTAAGTAACACTGATTTGATATGAAATGTTTGATATATAGTAAATGTTGGTTTAGCAACACAGATGTTATTTCATTCTTAATTTTGTTTCAGAGAAAAATATTAAACATTATTTAATAGGCATAGAGAACCACTATTTTTTCAAAAGCACCACTGCGGCTAGCGTTTAATTTTATACTTTTTTTGAGTGCTTTAGAGAAGAAAGCTGTTAGCATTTAATAAATATACTGTAGCTTGTATTTTCATATGACACTGACTTTATTAATAGAGACATTATTTCATACAAGAAACACTAACTAAATTGCCAGAGACATGTGATTTCATATCACATACACTGATTTATTTGGAAAAAGGGGCATGACTCTTGGTAGATCATTTAACAAACACTGGTTTGTTGGGAATGAGCTTTGCAATTTTGGAAACGTTTTTGTCTGTCATTTATTTTTTTATCTTCAGAGAAATTTGTTAAAAACAAATCACTTAGGACTTGTTTATTGGGGTGGGTAACTTGTAACATAGTTAGAAATACTGGTTTACCAAGTTACATACTTCATATCCTATGTAGAATGTTATAGTATTGGGCTAGAATTTCAAACTTTTGGGGCATAAAGGAACCGGACTGCCCACCGCCTCATAAGCCCCCACAATGGCCTGTCGCAGCCAATGGCCAATGGTAGTCGAAGACACCCTGGCCCCCAATGTCCCAGGCTGGAAGGAGACAACAAGTCCTCCGACCTGCGAACCCCTGCAGTCCTCCCGAGACAAATGCCCAACGTGTGACGAACGTCCAAACGGTGCCAGAGTCTCTCCCTATCACTGGAAGGGCCCGGACAAAAATCGGGCAGGATGATTTCCTGCGCCTGATGAAAGGGAGTGTTCACCTTGGGGAGAAAGGTAGGGTCAAGGCGAAGAACCACTCTATCCTGGTGAAAATGGCACCCTTGGAGGAAAGAGCGCCCAGCTCCGATATACGCCGGGCCAAGGTAATAGCCACCAGAAAGACTACCTTAAGGGACAAGAATCTCAGATGAACAGACCAGAGAGGTTCGAACGGGAGCCCCGTTAAGGCCCTGAGAACTAGCGGTAGGTCCCATGTAGGGAACCTGTGAATAGGGTGGCCTGAGATTGGCCGCCCCTTTAAGAAAGCGCTTCAGGGGAACGTGAGAGAGGGAGGAAGACCTCACCCCCCCCAAGACCGAAGACAGTGCCGCAGGTGTTATGTGACAACCCATTGTCCAGACCCTTCTGCAGAAAGTCCAGGACATGAGGAATAGTGGCCCTGGCAGGATGAATGCCAAGCGGGGAGCACCACCTAACAAAGGCCGTCCAGGTGGAGTTGTAAATCCGGGTCGTTGATGGGCGCCTAGAAGCCTCGATGGTGCGTATAACTCCTGAGGACAGGTTAGCCCTCCTCAGAAGACGCCGTTCAAGAGCCAGGCAGTCAGATGAAGCCACTGGGGCTCCGGGTGAATCAAGACCCCCTGGCGCAAAACAACCTCCTCCTGTGGAATCCTTCATGGAGGAGCCACTGACAGCTGGACTAGATCCACGAACCAGGGCCTCCTGTGCCAATAAGGGGCCACGACGATGACTAGTGCCCTCTCCACTACCACCTTCCTGGGGGTCCCCGGTATGAGGGGAATCGGGGGGGAAGGCATAAAGAAGGCCTTGAGGCCACCTGCTCCGGCGGGTCTGGAACCGGGTGAAGAATCTTGGCAGTTGCAAGTTCGCCGGCATGGCGAAGAGGTCCACCAGAGGAGTGCCAAACCTCCGAGAGATCCCCCGAAACAAGGATGGGTGGAGCTGCCACTCGCCATTGTCCAGGGTTGCCCGGCTCAGCCAGTCCACCTGGTGGTTGGACAGACTGGAGATGTGCTCCGGCACCAAGGACGATAGGTGACGCTCCGTCAGGCGCTGATTCTCCGGGCCTCCAGCCAAAGAGTGAGTCCCCCCTTGACGATTTATGTGTTCCTTGGTGGCCACATTGTTCGTCAGGAGAAGCATGTGACAACCCTCCACAGAGGTCTGGAAGTGTTGCAGGGCCAGGTGCGCTGCCTTCAGTTCCAACCAATTTATATTGTGTCGGAGATCTGAGGCAGTCCACCTGCCCTGGGCCAACCGGGAGCCCACCAGGGCCCCCCAACCGAACAGACTCGTGTCCGTGGTCACGGTAACCCTGCCAGCTCCCAGAAGGAGCAGCTCTGTTGGATAGCGGGGGAGATCCACAGCTGAGGGAGACCCGGACCTCCGCCATAATGCGGAGAGTTCGGAGAGTTGCTCATCCTTCCCCTTTGAATGGGGATGAGCTCCCACTGAAGGGGCCGAAGATGGAGCCTGGCCCACGGGACGATCCCAATACAAGAGACCATCTTGCCTAGCAACTGAGACAATGTCAGGACTGAAACTAACCAACTTCTGTGAACCTTGCCTGCGAGCTGGCATAGACTCTCCTGACAGTCCAGGGAAAGACAGACCACCCCCGACCCGGAGTCTATGACTGTCGCTAAGTGAAGGATGCATGTGGAAGGGGATAGACGGCTCTTGGGGAAGTTCACTGAAAACCCCAGGGATTGAAGATGCCTGATGGTAAGTTGCAGGTCCGCCACCGCTCGAGGGAGGGACCCCGCCTGGACTAGGACATCGTCCAGGTAGCATTGGAGTCTCACTGGGATGGAGTGAAGGTGAGTCGGTCGCCAATGCCGCCAACACCTTCGTAAACATGCGAGGGGCTGAAGCTAACCCAAAGGGAAGAGCCCTGTACTGGTAATGGCGGTCCCTGTGCAAAAATCTCAGAAACCTGCAATGAGCTGTGAGAATTGGAATGTGAAGGTAGGCCTCTGTCAGGTCTACCAATACTAAGAAGTCCCCCTTTCGGATGCTCTGAAGGATGGACTTGAGGGAGGACATCTTGAAGCACCTGTACACCAAGAAACGGTTCAGCCACTTGAGGTCCAGAATTGCCCTCCAGCCCCCCGAACTCTTTGGAACCACAAACAGGTTGGAGTAGTGGCCCAGACCCCGTTCCACAAGGGGAACTGTCTCCACTGCCTGAATGTCGAAAAGATGTTTTATGGCCTGATCCATCAGACGGCGGTGCTCCAAGCTCCGGGACGGAGGGAACGACCTGAAGAGATTCGGAGGGGTGGAAAGAAATTCTAACCTGAGACCTTGACGGACTGTGGACCTGAGCCAGGCGTCTGACATGATCTCGTCCCATCGATCTGCATAGAGGGACAGGCGGCCGCCTATGGGACGACTCAGGTTCGAGTCACTTCCCTCTGCGGTAAGGGTGACCGCTGCCACCTTGAAAGGGCCGCCGGCACTGATGCTGGAACCTGTTCCGGTCCTGATAGGCTGGCCGAGAAAATTGCCTGTCTGATCTGAAAGAAGAAAAACGCTGATGATGGTCAAAGTTGGAAGTCCTGTATGACGGCCTACGATAAGGATGAGCCCAAGACTTTTTAGCGTTGGATGGAAGGACCTTTTTCTTGTCCCTATTCTCGACCAGAATGGGGTCGAGAGCCTCCCCAAAGAGATTGGGGTCCGCCACCAGATTCCACTTGGCCTTGTTATCCATCTGCCAGTTACAAAGCCACAGAAGGCGGCAGGACGTAACTGAGTTGGCCAAGGCGCTAGGCACAAACTTAACCGTGTCCAGGGTTGCATCTGCAGAAAATTGCGAGGCAGCAATAATCTTAGTTAGGTCCTGATGGAGTCGCTCTTCCTGGATCGGGATGCGATCCTGGAGCTGGCGGAGCCACATGACTGTAGTGCGATTAAAATACGAGGCTGCAGCCATGGCCTTTATGGCCCAGGCAGTGGCATTGAAATTCTTCCATAAGGTAAGCTCCGCCCACTTATCCTCAGGTTTCAACTTGTCCGCTGCATCACCGGACACCACCGGGGAAGAGGAGACCAAAGTAGCAACCGGGGTGTCAATAGTGGGCAACTGAATGGCATGGGCAAAGGCCTGCTCCACGTTGTAGAAGAGACGGTCATTACTCCCAGGATTAGAGAAATTAAAGGGTCGATCTCACTGGTTGGTCAGGACCTCCATGAACAAAGGAGAGGCCGGAATCTCCTCCTTGTTCGTGGCCGTGTTCGAAAACATGGCCATGTCCGGATCCCTAGGCGGAGGCACCGTGGGATCCCCTGTCCCAATCTTGGTGGTTTTCCTCGCCTTGTTCAAGAGTGTCTTGAACATGGCCGGAGGAAAAAGACCCGAAGAAGAAGGAGAATCAGGAGGGGCCGCATCCTCGTCCTCCGAGAATCCCATATTCTGGAGATTCTCCTCCCCCATGACAGAGCCCTGGCTAACCATGGAAGGAGAGGAAGCCCTATACTGGTGATGGCCTGGATCCCCTTGAGGCCTAGATGAGTGGGAACTCCTATCCCACTGGGCAATGCCCCATGAAATAGCTGCAGAAATAAGCCTTTTGATCCCTTCAGGGAGGTGATCCAGGTCCTC